CCGTATTCACACTGGGACACCCCCTAGGCTATCTAGCCTAACCCCTGTGCTCCCAGTTCCTCTGCTACAGGCGCTAGAGGAGGCTATCTGATCTGGCCCTGGTCAAGCACAGATCACGGCACCCCACCAACCAGACCGACCCTTAAAAGGGCTCCGGCTCTGAGGCTCTGGGGCCGCATCACTGGCTTACCCAGCCGGCCTTCAAAAGGACAGCGGTCAGGGAAGTCCCAGGGTCTATCTAGTCGGTCTTCCTTCTTCACTGGGTCTTCATTCTTGTCCCCAACACACTGCTCCGAGCTCTCTGGCTCCCCGCCCTTTATACCCATACACCACTGAGGGCGGGGCTATAGTGGACGTGATGTGATTGTGTGTTACCTTCCCACAACACCCCTACACAGGTAACAAGCTGAGATTAGGAGCACTCCCTTTAACAGTGTGCTCCTAATCTCTCGTTACCTGTATAAAAGACACCTGGGAACCAGAAATCTTTCTGATTGAGAGGGGGTCAAAATACTTATTTCCCTCATTAAAATGCAAATCAATTTTTAACATTTTTGACATGCGTTTTTCTGGATTTTGTTGTTGTTATTCTGTCTCTCACTGTTCAAATAAACCTACCATTAGACCAAAATGGAGCTCTTTGGCATCAACTCAACTCGCCGTGTTTGGAGGAGGAGGAATGCTGCCTATGACCCCAAGAACACCATCCCGAACCGTCAAACATGGAGGTGGAAACATTATGCTTTGGGGGTGTTTTTCTGCTAAGGGGACAGGACAACTTCACCACATCAAAGGGACGATGGACGGGGCCATGTACTGTCAAATCTTGTGTGAGAACCTCCTTCCCTCAGCCAGGGTATTGAAAATGGGTCGTGGATAGGTATTCCAGCATGACATTGACCCAAAACACACGGCCAAGGCAACAAAGGAGTGGCTCAAGAAGAAGCACATTAAGGTCCTGGAGTGGCCTAGCCAGTCTCCAGACCTTAATCCCATAGAAAATCTGTGGAGGGAGCTGAAGGTTCGAGTTGCCAAACGTCAGCCTCGAAACCTTAATGACTTGGAGAAGATCTGCAAAGAGGAGTGGGACAAAATCCCTCCTGAGATGTGTGCAAACCTGGTGGCCAACTACAAGAAACGTCTGACCTCTGTGATTGCCAACAAGGGTTTTGCCACCAAGTACTAAGTCATGTTTTGCAGAGGAGTCAAATACTTATTTCCCTCATTAAAATGCAAATCAATTTATAACATTTTTGACATGCGTTTTTCCGGATTTTTTTGTTGTTATTCTGTCTCTCACTGTTCAAATAAACCTACCATTAAAATTATAGACTGATCATTTCTTTGTCAGTGGGCAAACGTACAAAATCAGCAGGGGATCAAATACTTTTTTCCCTCACTGTACATCCATCTCGCTATATAACAGAGAAGGAAATTAATATGTATTTCTCGTGGTTTCACATCTGGGGTGCTCAATAAAATGTGCAGTGACAGTAATAGAGAATTAAGACAGAGTCACTGGCATGTGCAGGACCACTACTTCTGCTTTCAACCTCAGCGATATTTGACCCCCAACATTACCCGTCTGCACGCCGATCATTGCCTTGCGGCAGCTTTGTGCAGAATACGTTCACGAGCTCGTAAAATGTGCACGTGGTTCAATTTACACGTGCACGTGTGTGTGTGGGTGTGTGCTGCTTATTCGGTAGTGTAGTGGTTATCGCGTTGCGGTACGAACCCCCGACACGAGTTCGATTCCCGCTCACGGTCAAGACCAGTGATTATTATCTGAGCCGGTCCTGGGCCTGCCCTAGGTCGACTCAGCCTCAAATTAGTACCTGGTGTGGTGTGTAAACATCAGAACTTAGGGACGAAAAAAGGCAGTCGAGCGTAGTGCTGGCCACCCACCCCCTCGTGTGCCATGCCGACCTTCAGCACTTGCCCCAACAGGCTGTTAAGGTTATACGGGGGATCTTTGTCTTGTTATACCTACGAATATATTGGTGCAGTTTCAACGTCGCATATCCCCAGGCTGGGGACAGAGATGTAGGCAGATTTGTTAAAAGGCCAGATATGTGAACGTCTATAGAAAATGACAGTTACAATACAGTGAGGGAAAAAAAGTATTTGATCCCATGCTGATTTTGTACGTTTGCCCACTGACAAAGAAATGATCAGTCTATAATTGTAATGGTAGGTTTATTTGAACAGTGAGAGACAGAATAACAACAAAATTCAGAAAAACGCATGTCAAAAATGTTATAAATTGCTTGCATTTTAATGAGGGAAATAAGTATTTGACCCCCTCTCAATCAGAAAAATTTCTGGCTCCCAGGTATCTTTTATATAGGTAACGAGCTGAGATTAGGAGCACACTCTTAAAGGGAGTGCTCCTAATCTCAGCTTGTTACCTGTATAAAAGAAACATGTCCACAGAAGCAATCAATCAATCGGATTCCAAACTCTCCACCATGGCCAAGACCAAAGAGCTCCCCAAGGATGTCAGGGACAAGATTGTAGACCTACACAAGGCTGGAATGGGCTACAAGACCATTTCCAAGCAGCTTGGTGAAAAGGTGACAATAGTTGGTGCGATTATTCGCAAATGGAAGAAACACAAAAAAACTGTCAATCTCACTCGGCCTGGGGCTCCATGCAAGACCTCACCTCGTGGAGTTGCAATGATCATGAGAACGGTGAGGAATCAGCCCAGAACTACACGGGAGGATCTTGTCAATGATCTCAAGGCAGCTGGGACCATAGTCACCAAGAAAACAATTGGTAACACACTACGCTGTGAAGGACTGAAATCCTACAGCGCCTGCAAGGTCCCCCTGCTCAAGAAAGCACATATGCATGCCCGTCTGAAGTTTCCCAAGAACATCTGAATAATTCAGGACAACTGGGTGAAAGTGTTGTGGTTAGATGAGACCAAAATGGAGCTCTTTGGCATCAACTCAACTCACCGTGTTTGGAGGAGGAGGAATGCTGCCTATGACCCCAAGAACACCATCCCCACCGTCAAACATGGAGGTGGAAACATTATGCTTTGGGCGTGTTTTTCTGCTAAGGGGACAGGACAACTTCACCGCATCAAAGGGACGATGGACGGGGCCATATACCGTCAAATCTTGGGTGAGAACCTCCTTCCCTCAGCCAGGGTATTGAAAATGGGTCGTGGATGGGTATTCCAGCATGACAATGACCCAAAACACACGGCCAAGGCAACAAAGGAGTGGCTCAAGAAGAAGCACATTAAGGTCCTGGAGTGGCCTAGCCAGTCTCCAGACCTTAATCCCATAGAAAATCTGTGGAGGGAGCTGAAGGTTCGAGTTGCCAAACGTCAGCCTCGAAACCTTAATGACTTGGAGAAGATCTGCAAAGAGGAGTGGGACAAAATCCCTCCTGAGATGTGTGCAAACCTGGTGGCCAACTACAAGAAACGTCTGACCTCTATGATTGCCAACAAGGGTTTTGCCATCAAGTACTAAGTCATGTTTTGCAGATGGGTCAAATACTTATTTCCCTCATTAAAATGCAAATCAATTTATAACATTTTTGACATGTGTTTTTCTGAATTTTTTTGTTGTTATTCTGTCTCTCACTCTTCAAATAAACCTACCATTAAAATTATAGACTGATCATTTCTTTGTCAGTGGGCAAACGTACAAAATCAGCAGGGGATCAAATACTTTTTTCCCTCACTGTTGGTGAACGGATACACATTTTCACAAACTGCCTTAAACATGGGACAGTAGTGATTGACTGCCACTCTATGGTGTAAGCGAGGTTGGGAATGCACTCGGTATGACATGAATTCCGGGTGCGGTGTGTGAACACACTGTTGATAACAACTGATGAGAGATGAGAGACGAAGCTAACTACCGAGTGGAGATGGAGGGAAGGGAGGCTGAAGAAGACAGCAGAAGAGATGGTAGCAGTGAAACGGGACCGCAGAGTTTGGAAGCCCCGACTGGGCCAGGAGCAGTTGACCCTTATGGCGGGACCCCGGGGTCCTAGAAGCCCCCGGCTCTCGCATAAAATGCGTTGCGACGTCATTTTATGTCTGTTGAAGGCGAACGATACGGCAATCTATCCCTCTCTACGATCTCTACACGATGCGCCAATTAAAGTTTCAAATTCTTGGTTCTTTCGGTAAAGTCATGTTGAAGGGAAACAATGAAATAATAAAATATATATAAAACAATAAAATTATCACGACGTTTCGACTGCAACACAAGCAGTCATCATCAGGTGCCGTTGGTTTTCACACCTGATGACTGCTTGTGTTGCAGTCGAAACGTCGTGAGAATTTTATTGTTTTAAATATATTTTATTACTTTATTGTTTCCCTTCAACGTGACTTTACCGAAAGAACCAAGAATATGAATCGCCGCAGTCACGAAAGCTTTGAAACAAAATTTAAAGTTTAAAAGTTTTGTTTATGACTATGGCATTCGCCCTCGCTGCGCTTGGACGACACGACAACAGAATGATCCGCGCCAGGTAGGTCGCGGTGTTTATGTGCGCGGTGGGACGGAGTCGCCAAAAATAAATAACTTAAATTACTATTCTAATTACGATTCTAACTTCCGTCTATTCGGGAGCCCAGTGTCCCACCGTAAGGTTCAGTTGAGGAAAGGAAGGAATGGAGTGAGAATGGGGAGAGGCCATTATCCAGCATTCGGAAGTTGCCATGCTGATAACAATAGATTCTCACACAGACCCATAGACTCACACAGAGACCCATAGGCACCCAGGGTGAACCCGTAGACTCGCATAGAGACCCGTAGATATCCATAGACTGACATAGAAACCGATAGAATCACATTTAGATCCATAGACTCAGACGCTACAGGCTGACAACAACAACAGCAACAACAAAAGGGCTCTCACAGGGTTAGATAAATGACATTGAACTGAATTAATGGGTTGAGCAATCCCGGCCATGCGCGCACGTGGGATGTTGACGCCTGCTGCTCCGCATGTGTTTGTACCAGAGTCGCTGTACGACGCCGTCAGAGCCACGGACCGGGAGGAGAAATATGAGAAGAGCCTGTGGGAGTCGCTGGACAAATACTACTGGGAAGGTACAGCACACGCACGCACACAACGGTGAAACACACACACACACGTACCCTACCAAACCAAGAAGAGACAAATATCCCCGTTTAGTCTTAACATACTGTTAGGGCAAGTGCCATGAGCGAGCACATATGAAGGCTGGCACGGCTAACGAGGGGGTGGGTGGCCAGCACCTCGCTCGGCTGCCTCTGTCCCCCGAGTGGCGATATTTACTACACACTACACCAGACACCAGGTACTCATTTGAGTCTGAGTCGAACTTGTGGCGGGGGGGAGGCGAAGGGCCGGTTCAGATAGTCGTCATCACTGGTGTTGACTGTGAGCGGGAATCGAACCCAGGTGGCCGGGTTTAGGCCCAGGGCCTAAGTTTGATTCCCGGCCACAGTAACGTGAGTGGCGAGTGGTCCTGCCACGACCGCCCCATCACCCACCCCCGCCTCCCACGCACATTCTTGGCACATTGAGAATGGATTAATATGCACATTCTTTATTATTTTAGCAGCATTTCATTATTGTTTAATTGCTCCATTCTTCTGCACCAATTATAATTATATTATTGCACAAATAACATACGGTATGGAGAGCGGTGGCACCTGAGTTCAAATCTCAGCAACGGCTAACATCATTTGTGAATGATGTCTGTATCGGTCCTTCCCCTCCCTTCACCACTATTGTTGTGAAGTATGGTCAAACAACTCCCATGGGTGACACGGCTTGGGAGGGAGGCCTTCATCTGGCTACGGATTGACAAAGGGCCCTCTACCTGATGACTTGTTCTATTTTCATGAATCCACACTTGAGTCCTTCTCTATTGCAGTATATATGTTCTGTATTGATTCTCATTTCTCATTGATCCCTTCAGATGCGCCTCACTTGTACGCCATTCCAAAATGTGATTGAATCCGGGTGATGTTTGTTCTTCTGTACTTGCTCTTACACAGGTCTTTCTGTTAAATGTGCTATCATCATCTTCCCCATTGGCCATGATCTATCCACTGCTTGTTTAAGGCCTCTCCACATCATCGCCACCTCTCATGGTATTGCGATGCCACAATCTATCTGGCTTCCGTACACAAGCTGATTTCATTACTCCATTTCCACGAAGGATGGCATCCCAGATGCATTCCATCCTTTGGCTACTACTCCGTCATATGTCTTGACCATCATTCGCTATAATGATGTGTCCTTCTCAAGCCTTACTTTCCATTCCGGTCGATACAATTTCGCTAGCTTCCCTGTGCTCTCTGATCCGTGCGTTCCCCTTTTCCATCTCTCACTGTCATTCCCAGCATGCATCTCTCCACGCTTCTCTGTACATATTTCAACTTTTGTATCCATTTTCTTTGTCGGTGTGCATGTCACAAAATGTTTGCAGTCAATATGTCATAGAAGATAATTCGCGCTGGCTTAACCAAATTATAAAGATCAGCTGTAGCTACACAGTACAAAAAAAATCCGATCTGGGAGACAGCCGTACAGCTACAGCACTTAATTTTCATCATGCAGAGTCAAGCCCAGCGGGTAAATGCAAGGCTGCACCTTTACCTTTCATAGCACGGCATTAACACACAGTGTCTGCATCATACTTTTGTGAAGGCACCACGGCGGCGAGATGTTAACTACCTCGCCAAGTATACAGGAGGTCGTGGTTTCGATCCAGAACATTACGCCTGCTGTATATTTGGAGTTTGGGTGTTCTCCCCGTGGTCGTGTGGATTTTTCTCCGGGTCCTTCGGTTTTCCCTCCACATTTAGAAACGTGCGTTTAAAGTATTTGGCTGCCCTAAATATCCAAATGATAAGTTAATGCGTTGAGCTATAATTTGTTTCAGAAAGGAGCCACATAGCTCAGTGGGCCTTACCTGGTAAAATAAAAAGTTTTGTTTTAGTTTAGAATCACTGGTGCTGTGTCCAGCGTGAGACTCGCGCAGGGAGCCTTGACAACGAGCCCCCGGCAGAAATCTGGGTAAACTACTCACCCCTCCGCATCCTTCTCCGTGATCTCTGAATGACCGAGTTGCTGGGGGTTCAGAGAGAGAGAGAAATGAAGGGGGGTGGGGAAATAGACAAATCGATGGTTGTCTCATGCGCTTAAAATGTGGCCATAACTCAAGCATGTGTGCCTGACAAGGCTGCCCGCTCTGATCATTCTTCTCATCGTTCCTTCCGTCACCAGCGGAGGCTTCCTGCCTCCCGCTGCACCATGAGAATGCCGCAATGTGTTGCCTTTGCACATCCGCACCTACGACTAGCACGGTTGGCTGCATACGGTGCGAAAAAAAGTTCAACACACACACATACTTTATAGTAAAGGTTTTTGGGTTAGATCGCGTTATTTATAAACGTGTCGTAACCCTCCACCAGCCGACACGGCCAATCAGCAAAAAAGTGTCACGTTGACAAAAGACAAAATAGTTCACTACTTTAGCCCACCGGTGTGTTGAAGAGTGAATCCACAACATTTACAGTTTGAGTACGACGTTTCGCTGGTAATTACATCCAGCATCATCGGGCAATTCGCCAGAATGGTAAAGCCCTCACTTGCTCCCGGTCTTAAGTAGAGCAGCAGAGTGACGTCATCATTTAACTCATTCAGGTGAAGTGATTTGAGGCGAAGGGGGGGGTATTGTAATTATATAATCGATTGGTAATCAGTCAATGGTTATGATTAGTAATGAGTTGTAGATTAGTAATTAGTTGTAATGTGTTATTGTGATTATATGCTACGTTAGTAATCCGTTAATTAGGATGTTTCCCCTATAAGGAATTGTAATATGTATTATTTAATAATACGCTTCCAAGCCGCACTAAGCCTGTAGCTGTCAGAGCGATTAAAGTTATTTCTATTTCTCTCAAATCACTGCACCTGAATGAGTTAATTGATGACGTCACCCTGCTGCTCTATTTAAGACCGGGAGCAAGTGAGGGCTTTGCCATTCTGGCGAATTGCCCGACGATGCTGGATGTAATTACCAGCGAAACGTCGTACTCAAACTATAAATGTTGTGGATTCACTCTTCAACACACCGGTGGGCTAAAGTAGTGAACTATTTGTCTTTTGTCAATGTGACACTTTTTTGCTGATTGGCCGCGTCGGGTGGTGGAGGGTTACGACACATTTATAAATAACGCGATCTAACCCAAACACCTTTATTATGAATAACATTGGTCGCGAAAGCCTACGTTTTAAACACACACACATACATCTGCATGATCGCCGGGGCTTCATTTCTCTCGATATTTTTTCTCTGGAACGCTGCTCGGCTGGCTTGCACTGGTGGTCATCAGAATTAAGGCACTGCTACTAGAGTACAAGGTATACCTATCCATAGCAATCCATATCCTGTATTTAAGTAGCCTCTGTTTATGTACTGTCCTTAAGGGCATCTGGCAATTTGAAGCACCATTTAAAATATTTTTGCATATGACCACAAAGGCAAAGACCCCCAATAGCCTAAACAGACTTGGGGAAAGTGCTGTTAGCGAGCACCTATGAAGGCCGGCACGGTACTCGAGCAGGTGGGTGGCAAGCACTTTGCCCGGATGCCTTTGTCTCCCTAGTGCTAATATTTACACATTGCATCAGGTACACATTTGAGGCTGAGTCGACCTAGAGGAGGCATAGGACTTGTTCAGATATTCACCACTGCTATTGGTCGTGAGAGGGATTCCAACTTAGGCTGCCTGGGTTTGTAGCGCAGCGCGCTAACCACTGTGCCACCACCGCACCCACAAGCACACACACCACCGCAGCAGTCACGCACCACCACACGCACCACCACACACACCACCGTACACACCAACGCACGCACGCACGCACCACCACAGAGGATACAACGAGGTGAAGTGGATGTGCCTTGCCAAGATAATTCCCGGGACAGTGTTGTGGACTATTGTGGCTGAAATTAACCACTTGAGTGAGGAATATAATGGGCCTACTGCATAATGTCCCCCCATCTTAGTGTAATAACAGTAGAGTCTGCATGTGCTGTGAGCACTAGTGGCTACGGGAGGTAATGACAGGGGAGTCAGCCAACAGTGCGAATCCACTAGTGGCCACGGGAGGTAATGACAGGGGTATCAGTTGTGAGTGCGAAGGGACTGGTGGCTATGGGAGGTAATGACAGGGGTATCAGTTGTGAGTGCGGAGTGACTGGTGGCTATGGGAGGTAATGACAGGGGTATCAGTTGTGAGTGCGAAGGGACTGGTGGCTACGGGAATAATCGAGAAGGGAGCGTGGTTAGGTGACGGAAGAGGACGGTGGAGTCTGCCTCTGGAGCAAGCGTCCAGAGTCAGCGAGAATGATCGAGAAGGAGGGTGTGGCCTCGGTTGGCAAAATCAGGGAGATGCATGGGAGACTCGGGGCTGTTGCAGTGGAGTCTCCGCCGATGTCAAGTGAACGTGTCTTCAATAAAGTGCCATCTCAAGAGAAGTGTGTCAAGACGTGATTATATTAGCGTGGGGCCTGGGGCCTCGGCCCATCTGGTCCGTGGCCCCCATTGCAATTGCACTGCCCGCATGAGCAAGCAGTTGCAGGGCTGCACCTTTAGCTCTTGTAAAATGGCATCATCATCACGCGCATGCCCCTCAGGTCATAGCGGTCCCTATGAGCCGCCACCAGGCAATCCTATCCTGCGCTAGCCGCCACGCTGAATGCCAGCCAAAGGCCATGGTGTTGAAGATCGGCCTCAATCGTGTGTGTCCACGTCAGCCGTGGTCTGCCCCGGGGGCACCTCCAGTCCCACTGTGGGCCATCGACGATCGGGGCTCTGGCGTGATCTGTTGATGTGTCTGGCCGGGCAACGTGTCCGAAGAGTCTAAGTCTTATGGCTGTGACCATTTCATGCAGCGCAATAGAATTTTCTCTTAATTACCTGCAAGTAATTTGTGCTTCAATGTGTAATGGGTTCAATTGGGGCACACACTAGAACTGGAGGCAACACGGTTTATTAATTAATACAACTCTTAACATGAACAGGATAGCTCCATAGGGTGGTGACCACCGCTCCTAACTTAGCTAACACACGGGGGATACTATATTACCGGACCAGGACAGCTCAACACGTTGCCTGGTCCACGAGCGCAGACCGGAGACCAAGGATCGCAGATGGCAGCTTCATTCCCAGAGTCCAACAGCCCAGATCCCTCTCGGGACGAGGCTCATACGTAACTGCCGCGGCATGGCCGGCTCCGCCCTTGCCCACGCCCCCTTCCAGATCCTTCGGGAAGGCCCGGGTCCCTCATCACGTGACCCTCGCACCCCCATCTGGGGGTCCCCTTGCCCCCCTCGTCCGGTCACGTGCCCTCTCGGGTTCACCCAGGGTATCACGCCCTGACGCGACCTCAGTGACACTCGGACTCTGCCCTCTCGTGAGTCATCCCGTGCCATGCTCACGCTGGTGCCATAGAGAGGCACCCCGCATACAGTACCCGTCATCCCTTGGTACTGTCGCAACATAGTAGTGACATCATTTACGTCACTACAAATGTTTTTAGTAGAGTTAGAAGACGTTCTCGAACGCTTGAATTGTGGATATGAAGCCATAAATAAAAATGGAGGAAATGCGAACCACATCGGATTTGCCCAAGACGTAGTTGTTGCAACACATGGCAATGGAAATGAAAGGTAGGAAGCAATGGGAGAAGTTAATAAAGGAGGTTGCAGAGTGGGGCTCAAGATCAATACGAGCAAAACAAAAGTCTTGCGTGGAAAGTTCGCCAAATGATTGGAGATTATCCGTACGAGGGGCACAACTAAAAAAAACCGAATGGGAGTGAGTGCTCACACTCAGGGCCCGATTTACCCCCAAGCTAATGAGGCGAATATTTTGTAGGCCTGTTTTTAGGCGCTCCGCGCCACGTCAGACTAACAGCTGAGCAACAGTAGCGCGGCCATAGGAATTGTTTTTTGTCTTTGAATTACGATGAGGTCATTCGTATACTTTGCCACAGATAAATCGAGGAACAATAATTGTTATTGGTTTGAAGAAATGCGTCTAGTAAGTAATTTATGTTTGATTAATTTGCCTTGAGTTGAAGCAATTCGTTCATTTTACATTGGTAAATAAACAGGTTTGATGACTCCATAATTTGTTTTGCAATATGTAATACAGTACATACTTAGGCCTTTCCCTCCAGTCAGCCATAGGTGCTTCATAATCTTAATCTGGCTCTGTTTACATCCCTTCATCACAACAACATCAGATGCAGCTTTTTCCACGCCATTTTGGTCTTGGGGGTTGTTTAACCAAGCTGAGTGTTGCATTATGAGGACAATAATTGAAGGTGGCACTGAGAATGAAATGGTGAACTAAAAATGTGGATGAGAGTGGGTTGGAATTATTTTGTAAAACCGAACTTAGTAATGGAAGTGAACATCCCAATATGCCTAAAGAATAAAGTTTGTAATCACTGCATATAACAACAACCGCCATTCACCACTAAGTGGTGGTGAAGTCACCACGACGCTTGGGCCAGGCTACGTGCACCTCGAGGCCACGTGAAGTGTCGAACGCCCGCTGGCAGGAGGTCACGGGGCAGACCCAGGTGCCACGGGTCGACTGACTGAGACGACTGGCTGATTCACCACCTGTGCTCCCTACTGTGCCAACTTGTTGTGCTTTAGCCACCCGGCACTCCACTCGTTGTTATGAGCGTCGCTCCTCCCCCCTTTGTTGTTGTTGGAGGGCGACTGCCTCCAACTGCCCAGTAGCGTCCTTCACGAGCCTCCTCCACAGAGGCTGATCTTGACACCGCTGGTACCAGTCATCGGCAAGTCCACTCAGCTCCACGTCCTCCTATACCACATCACTCCATCTCTTCTCTAGCCCGTGACCGCGCCTGCTTAGCCCCCTCGATCCGGCCGAACAAAATCTGTTTAGGCATACGGTGAATGGGCATGCAGGCTACATGACCCAGCCAGCGCAGCCTTACCTACCGGAGGAGCTAACCGATGGGACTTTGCCCAAATCTTTCAAGGATTTGTGAGCTCCTCACACAATCCAGCCTGGTTAAACCCAGGATGGATCGTAAGCAGGCCAGCCTAAATCTTTCTAACCGGCGAAGATGTTCCATTAGAGGAGTTCACGTTTCGCTAGCGTAGAGAAGGGAGGGAATGACCGTGGCCGAGAAGACCTGAATATTTCTAACCGGCGAAGATGTTCCATTAGGGGAGTCCACGTTTCGCAAGCGTAGAGAAGGGAGGGAATGACCGTGGCCGAGAAGACCTGAAGCTTTGTGCGGAGCGACAGGCCAGGTAGCTTCCACACAGCGTTACGCAACCGATGAAAAGATAATGCCGCTCGACTGATGCGGACTGAGACCTCTGTTGTCAAACTGGAGCTGGTCATGAGTACACTGCCCAGGTATGGGAAACTCTCCACTCTCTCCACAACTGCCTCATCACCAATTGGGAGTTGTGGGGGTGGAGTGCCCGATGGTACAAAATACCCTGGCAGGTGCTTAGTTATGGTGGGGCTGATGGTAAGGCCCCACCTCTTAGTGGCAAGTTCCAGGTTCAGCAGCAGTGCCTCCAACGCCTGCTCTGAGTGAGCAGCGATTACCAGATCATCGGCATACATATCGTGGTTGAGCAATAGGGAGCCATCCCTTGACCGCACCCGGGCATTGATAATCAATTGCCGCCATTTGCATATATCACATACAATAACACCTGCAATATACTCCTCTAGTCCTTGTTTGGGGATGGGTCCTGGTCCAATGATCTCTTGGCTTTGCAGACCAATGTTTTCAGGCAGCATTTATTTGTGGGCAGGTAGTCAGCATCATATATATTGCAACGATAATTGGAGAGTGATTGCTAACAAGCCATGTACCCAAGCTTTAAAGGCATAATCATGCTGATGACGATTTGTTTAAGCAAGAATATTCTGGATCGGTTTTGACTTTCTGGGTTTTCATCAGCAGCTCATCCATGTTATTTTTCTCTGCAGTGAGATTCACCCTCCTGGATCACCAGAGCCCAACCACGGGCCTCTTTCCCACCAAATCTCAAAGCAAGAGCAACGCCGCCAAGGTCCGCGACAGCCTCTACTGCGCCGCTGCCGTCTGGGCCCTGAGCCTGGCCTACAGGTGAGACGCACGGCGGCGCGCTTGTCGAGTGTGCGGGCCGTGCACCTGGCCTACAGGTGAGATGCACAGCGGCGCGCTTGTGGAGTGTGCGGGCCGTGCACCTGGCCTACAGGTGAGATGCACAGCGGCACGCTTGTCGAGTATGCGGGCCGTGCACCTGGCCTACAGGTGAGGTGCACGGCGGCGGCTTGTCGAGTGTGCGGGACGTGCACCTGGCCTACAGGTGAGATGCACAGCGTCGCACTTGTTGAGTGTGCGGGCCGTGCACCTGGCTCACAGGTGAGGTGCACGGCGTCGTCCTTGTCGAGTGTGCGGGCCGTGCACCTGGCCTACAGGTGAGAAGCACGGCGGCAGCTTGTCGAGTGTGCGGGCCGTGCACCTGGCCTCCACAGCGCTGGTTCACAGGCAGCCACGTGCAGCATAGCCACCACCACCACGCTAGCTTTTTTCCCTCTGACGCTCATGTCTTAGTGTTTTGTAGATCATCTTGAGATGCAGTTGCATTTTTACAATATATACATCCAAATTGGATAAAAGTATATTGCTCATGAGACTGTTTAGAGTTTTGTGGTGATATTATAACAGCACGGGAATGGACCGAGAGTGGTTTTAAATGCTGGGCTTGCAACCCAAACGTCGCCGGTTCCATCTCCCGGCTCAGCAGTTGGAGGCCACGGGCAGGTTACCTAACCCCCCCTGGCCACTTTTGTCCATCCAGCACAGTGAATCGTCGACAGATTTGCGTGCGGTTGGAGTAAAATGTGGGTGCTCCCACCTTCTCCAAGACGTCTGGCCTGTGCTGAAAGAGTAGACCAAAATACCCTTATGAGGGGGCTCTGTAGAGCTCCGCCTCGTGGAGGCCCTTCTGTCAGCAGTGACGTGATCAAACAATTGCAGGGCTGCACCTGTACCTTTTACTGGGTGGGTAACAATTTGCCCCTCTTGCAGTTCGATGAATTGTCACAATTCTTGGGGTCAAAATTCAGTTCAAACATCACATCTATTGTTGGACATTGTGGTGACTGTATAGAGGCTTTGGGGTCTACATGAAACCTATTACACACAAGATATAATCAGCAGCAGCAGCCCTGATCTCTTCACTGCTGGATGAAGGCCTCCCTAAGCCAATTTATCATTACACGCCTATAAAGTGTAGTTTGGAGTGCTCGTTGAAACAAAGAGGGACCACAATGTACTTCTGCAGGAACTTCTGATGGTTTTTACATTTGTTGTTTGAATCAAAGTGAGTGCTTTTTTCCGAGTCGAAGACTGGGTGGCCCGGGGTCCCCTGGACAGCTCCTTTCTGCGGAGCAATGCTGCAAGGCCGCTTTTGTATGCAAACAAAATTCCAGCAAATGCATCAAGAGGCTTGTCAAATCACTGTGACGAATGTTTCAGCATTGGGCAGATTTACAATTACCCACCATGATTAGGCCAGGTTTTTCAGGATGTGATGAAGGTTATGGTCTCATCTGTCACCAATGACTGCACACACACACACACAAAGACTCATCATAGACGTTAAACCATTAATTTATTTTAGCCTGCATGCTCTTACAGATACAAATGCATGAACATGTAATTGACGAGCAATCTTGGACGTAAATGAATAAACGCTTGACAATTATAATTTATTGCCCTTTGTCGATACACCACTGGATGAAGGCATACCCACGCCGTGCGGGCTATGGGGCGTATTTGACCATACTTCACCACGCCGGTCAGTGCGGATTGGTGTAGTTCGGGCCAGGTTCAGATTTCACTCGCCGCTCGTCTTAGCCATGGCCAGGAATCAATCGTAAGTTGTCAGGTTCATAGCACAGAAGGTGAGTGCTAGATACAGTCACAGTTGCAAATGTGATTTGCAACTTTTATCCATTACCTGTGTATTATCGATAGTTAAATGTTATTGTGCCATTGTATTGAGTGAGGTGCGACTGCTGTGTGGTGTGGTCGTGAGGAACGCGTGTGCACCCATGCATACATGTGCGTGTGCGCGTGCGTGTGGGTGCGTGTGGGTGTGTGTGTACGTGGTGCTCGCTAACAGCACTTGCCCCTACAGTCTGTTAAGGCTATACGGGGGATCTTTGTCTTTATCTTTGTGTGTACATGTGGGGAGCGGTAGTGTAGCGGTTAGTGCGCTGCGCTATGAACCTGGCGACCCAGGTTCGATTCCCGTTAACGGCCAACACCACTGACGATTATCTGAACCGGTCCTGGGCCACCCCTAGGTCGACTTAGCCTCAAATGAGTACCTGGTGCGGTGTGTAAACATCGCCACTGGGGAGACAAAGGGGTCGGGCGTGGTGCTGGCCACCCACCTCCTCGTGTACCATTTCGGCCTTCATAGGTGCTCGCTAACAGCACTTGCCCCTACAGTCTGTTAAGGCTATACGGGGGATCTTTGTTTATCTTTGTTTGTACGTGTGGAACAATCCTCACAGCCACTTGTCTCAATTTGTACGGGATGTTCCACTTTAAACTGCGCCAATTATCTTTTTGGGGAAATCCAGGAAGTCTAGATAAAATCTAGGAAGTCAGGATAACCGTGTCACCTGGCCCAGCTGCTTCAACAGGTGCCATGACATTACAGGCACGACCAATAAGATTTACATAAGATGGTAACCATTACGAATTAATTTGTTCAAATTTATTCTAATTTATATAATTTACATTGTGCCAGCGTAGAACATTATAGGCTTCATTCATTGATAAATTAGACGTATAATGAATATATAATTTATTAATAATTAGTGACTTTTTTCTCTCTTTTGAACTCCTCTCGTCATTGTATTGGTGGCTGTTGTAACCTACTGATTGGATTCCTCCAGTCTAAATAAAGATTCTGATTCTAAATCCACAGCTGGATGAGGGTGCTCACACACCGTGTGGGTCGCCAGGGATATCTAGCCGTACTTTACCATGCCGGTCAGTGGCGCTTAATGAAGGTGGGAAGCATAGATATGGGAGCACAGAAGTACACTACAATAATGGATTTTGCTGCGCTGCCATCTGCTGCCCCCCACTTCGCCCTACAGCCTATAGCAGCAAGGCATGCACGTTACTCACTGGTCCGTCCAAGGACTATCCAGGCTCAACCCGCGCTTAGCGTCCAGAGATCTCACGGGATCGGGTGGATTGCGTTCTTGGTGATTCGGTCACACGCGGCTCTAGCGCGAAGGACAAACCGCTTCCATCTCTGGACAAGACTCACAAGAGCACCACAGTGGTGTGGTTCGCGATGACATGACGACGATGACACGACGAAGATGACATGACGATGACACAACGATAACACGACGAAGATGACACGACTTACACGATGATAACACGACAACGATAACACGATGATAACACGACGAAGATGACACGAGGATAACACGACAACGATTACACGATGAAGATAACATGACGAAGATGACACGACTGACACGACGGCAATAACACGACGACAATAACGCGATGACAATGACATGACGACGATGACACGACTATGACAAAATGATGAAATGACGATAACACGACGACGATGACATAACGATGACGCGACGATGACACGACGATAACACGACGACGATGACACGACGACAATGATATAACGACGATGACACGATGACGATAATTACTTGACGATGACGCGACGATAACAGGACGACGATGACACGATGATGACACGGTGATGACACGGTGATGACACGATGATGACACGGTGATGACACGGTGATGACACGGCGATGACACGGCGATGACACAGCGATGACACGGTGATGAGACGATGATGACACGGTGATGACACGGTGATGACACGGTGATGACACGACGATGACAGGATGATGACACGGCGATGACACGGTGATGACACGATGATGACACGATGATGACACGACGATGACATGGTGATGACACGACGATGACACGGTGATGACACGATGATGACACGGTGATGACACGGTGATGACACGATGATGACACGATGATGACACGACGATGACACGATGATGACACGATGATGACACGATGATGACACGACGATGACACGGTGATGACACGATGATGACACGATGATGGCACGGTGATGACACGGTGATGACACGATGATGACACGATGATGACACGACGATGACACGGTGATGACACGACGATGACACGGTGATGACACGGTGATGACACGATGATGGCACGGTGATGACACGGTGATGACACGGTGATGACACGATGATGACACGACGATGACACGGTGATGACACGGTGATGACACGGTGATGACAGAATGATGACACGGTGATGACACGGTGATGACACGATGATGACACGATGATGACACGGTGATGACACGACGATGACACGGTGATGACACGGTGATGACACGGTGATGACACGGTGATGACACGGTGATGACAGGATGATGACACGGTGATGACACGGTGATGACACGGTGATGACACGGTGATGACACGATGATGACACGGTGATGACACGACGGCAACGATAACACGAGCGCTGACAATGGAACGTTTCCCGTGCCTCTTCTTTCAGACGCAGCGACGATGATAAGGGGAGGATTCACGAGCTGGAGCACAGTGCCGTCAAGTGCCTCCGTGGCATTCTCTACTGCTACATGCGCCAGTCTCTCAAGGTCAGTGCCTTCGCCTTGCGCACATTATTCAAGTTGTTCCATCCCCAAGCGAGGTCGTGTTGCTACTGGTGGTGGAGGTGGTGGTGGTGGTGATGGAGGACTCTGTGTATTAACCCTTTCCCGTTCCGAGATGACTGTAAGTTGCAGGGTGGATGTCCCGTACACCGGTGAATCTCGGAACCCGCAAGCGGTCAGCGTTAATTTTATTTGGAAAGGCGTAGTAGCACCACTGTTTCTAAAGACATTGTACTCACAGCAGAGAACTGAAGCGACACGACCACACTCTATGATAGCTGACGCCAAATTGTGCCATACACCCTCCCGCATGGCTTTGTGGGAGCCTCGGTACCGACAAAGTTATTTTATTTTAGTTTTTCTCCCGGTTCCGTTCCAAGACGCACAGGTGCATCATCAGAATGGAATCGGAAGAAAACGGAACGGGAAAGGGTTAACAGATCTATCAAGCCAGGAGAGGAGAATGCATGACCACTGACTTAGTGGGGCACCATGAGATTGGCTTATAGCTGCGTAAAAGTTGATTGAGCAGTGTCCCGGTAGGGAGGGTTGGAATGTAATCATCACGTGTGGTGTCATAGGTCTCCCAATCCCCACCTTCAGGCGTGTAACATCCGGTAAATTGTAATGTTGCTAACGTTCGTAAGGTATTGCCAGGGGCTTAATTTATCACTGCAAAATATCCTGGTCGCTGGTAGACCAGAGTAGGCGCGTGGACCAGTAGCCACGACCACGGTGAGAGGTGCACTGGATGTGGTGTGCGGGGTACAGAAGTATTTACCGGGACACTGGCCCGGACAAACCTGGCGGATATTAAGTCTTAGGTGTGACTTTGCAACGACTATGGCGAGACATCTGGCCTGAGAGAGGATTCCATTTTGTGTGAGATTTGCCTGTGGTGTCAAAGGTCGAAACTTTAGGAAATGCTTTTGTTGTCTAAATTACAGGGGGCTTGTGACAAGGAAGTGACTAGCAATAGTGCTTTGCATGGCCCCATCATGCTGAGGATGCCAGGAATTTCAGGGCAGGATAGGCTAAGCAACTTGGAAGTTCAGTGCAGAATGTGGCAGGAAAGTGGAGGTGATGTAATCAGCAGGAGGTGAGCGCCACGGTGGCGAGATGTTAACTACTTCGCTTGGTATACAAGAGGTCGTGGGTTCGATCCCGACCCTGACGCCTATATATTTTTAGTTTCTTCTCCCCGTGGGGTTTCCCTCGATATTTAAAAACATGCCTTTGGAGAATTTGGCTGGTAGAAATTTCCACATGATAAGCCACGTCATTTGGCTATCATTCGTGGCCAGGTCGCTCGCCAAAAATGATAGGAATGGTTAATTACAATGGGGGGGGGGGAACGTGTGGAATTGCTTCTCGTCAGTGAATCTTGGTGCGGTGCCAAATGCCTGTGATCCAACACTTCGGAGCAGGGTTGGTGGATCACACAGAGATTATTAGTTCCACGAGGCAACTAAATATTGCAAATCAAACTTGACCCGCATTTGGAGGTACACTAAGTAGGTTGTGTCGGAGAATGGCTATTGGTGAAACACCTTCAAACGACCTCTGATCACACACTAAGAGCTAACCCTTTTCCACCTGCTATGCCACTGAGAGTAATGTTTGCATGATTCCAGAATAAAACTTTTTTTTTTATTCTGGAATATAGACAGGTTAAGTGCAGAAAGAAATTTGGTGTGATTGTGTTTTTGCACAGTCATCGTTAACTGGCCTGAGACCATTAACTCGTGGGCCACTTGCCTAGATTCAAATCTAGGATTTTGCGGTTCCAGCTCAGCGCTCTGATCTCTGAGCCATTTGGCCCCCTACCACCCATAAAATATGAAAAGTGCAATTGGCCAATCATCTTAATGCTGCAAAGGAGCTTTGACGCTGTCCTGGATATAGCCGACTTGATTAAACATCGGTTCGTATGTATGTATGTTGAACTTCTTTTGCACCGTACGTAGGCAACCGTGATAATCGGATGTGCGGAGGAAGGACAACAAACTAAACACAAAACGCAGTTCTCAAGAAATTAGTTTTCAATATAAAAAAAAAATGTAATGATTGTAGGGAATCCGACATTGGATGTGATATGGGGATACTGTCTCTCGTCATGGGAATGTGGAATTTCCTATCCGAGTCCATGTCCACCAATGGGGATGAGTGCCACCCTCCTGCTCGTTTGAGCAGGAAGACACTGCGACTCTGTCTCCACTTTTCTTCTGACTTTCAGGACGCGGCGGGGCAAGTTGTGTGATCTCATTAGAGGGCGGCGCTTCCCAACGTGCTGGCTTGTGCCGACGTCAATCAAAAACCGTGAGACCCATTGAAGATGACAGTGGGCGAACAGCGAGCCGCACGCCATCTTCTCATTTCGGGGTTCGTCTCAGTCGTCGAGCCATTTGATCCGCGGCTTCCCAGGGCTCCCGGCTCTCTGCTGCTTCTGCCATTGCATTGTTGTGCCGCAACGGCGTCACAACAATCAGGAGGTGTGGAATTAGAGTGGCAACCTTCGTCCTGCTTTTTTTACAGAGCGGTAACCTGCCTTGGGAAGTTTGTAAGTCTTCTCCATACATTACATTTCCCGTTTTTTTGGTCAGTTGCATAATAATACTACTACGCCACTGGAGATAATTAATTTGGTATTATGGTGGTGGCACACGCCTGTGATTCAGCGCTGAAGAGGCAGCAGCAGGGTTTGGTGGATCACCGCAATAAATATTGCTCCCTTCCCGTGTGTGTCGAGGAGGCGCCGTACCCTGGTTTGCCAGGCGATGGCGGTGCAGCAGAGTGTGGACTGATACCATCTCTCCCTTTCCTATAAAAATCTGAATATTTATTCATCGTGGAGGAATCCGATGAGCTATGAAGCTCTTTTTCACAGAACGGTCTGCTGCTCCCCTCGCACGCGTGGGTTTTCTCCGGAAGCGCTCGTGGCCAGCAGTGGATAGACCACGGCACGTGAGGATGTGGCCCGTCGCGTAGCCCTGGCGAGGCCCTCCACCGTGCCCAGCTCCTCCAGGAGGACGTGCTCATAGCTGCGATAGAGAAGCGGATCATGTGGAGAGCAAGTCAGCACAGGGGGTTATCCTACGATGCATTGTCAGCGATGCATCGACAGCGTGCAACTGTGGTCATCCCGAACAGACTGTACACCGTAAAACGATGGAACGCCCGATCCACAAATACGAAGTAGGCATCACGGCGATACCGCTGTTCCTGACGCGGTGATCTGGCTTGACCACCTGAATGTGGAATTCTAGTTGTTGCTCTCCATCTACATCATCAGCCATACGAAAGAAGAGGAAGAAGCGATCCGTTCGACAGTCCCGAGCTGGATTGAGTCATAATTGCTTTTGTGGTGAGGATCACCGAACGATCTCGCCAAATCAGTGTCGAAATCCCTTCGCCACCCGACGTGGCCAAACAAATTGAAACCGTCACGTGTAATTAGCGTTTGCATGTAAATATGTTGAACTTCTTTTGCACCGTACGTAGCTAACCACGCTAATTGGAGGTGCGGAGGAAGGACAAGAAACTAAACACGAAAATCAGCTCTTAAAAAAAAAGAGTTTTCAATCCAGATTTGGAAAGTGCATTGCTCCAGTGACTTCCTAATATCGAAAAGAAGAGCGTTCCAGATGGCCGCAGAAGTGCATCTGAAAGCGCGCGATGCGGTGACCGTCTTTCTATGTGGCTGTGAGGAATGCGTGTGCGCCCGTCCATGCATGTGTGTGTGCGTGTGGGTGCGTGTGTGTGTATGTGCGTTTGGAACAATCCTCACAGCCACTTGTCTCAATTTGTACGGGATGTTCCACTTTAAACTGCGCCAATTATCTTTTCGGGGAAATCCAGGAAGTCAAGATAAAATCTAGCAAGTCAGGATAACCGTGTCACCTGGCCCAGCTGCTTCAACAGGTGTCATGACATTACAGGCACGACCAATAAGATTTACATAAGATGTTAACCATTACGAATTAATTTGTTCAAATTTATTCTAATTTATATCATTTATATTGTGCCAGCGTAGAACATTATAGGCTTCATTCATTTTAACTACTCATGAATATACTCGTTGGAATGGCATTAGATTCACTCTTCTTCCATATTTAGGCTTCAGACTTCACTCTTATTCAATATTTAGGCTTTAGTTTTAATTCATGAAGAAGCTCGTTGGTGGTATGGGTGCGTATGGATGCCTTTGTTTGTACGCGTGCATGTGCACGCGTGCATGTGTGCCCGTGCGTACATGTGTGAGCGTGCGTACGTGTGTGCGTGTGTGTGTGCGTGTCTATACACATCAATCAGGCTAAAGCAGTTTCGCTGCCGTTCACTTTGGTGAGGTCACTACTCGGGCAAGGAGGAAGGAGGAAGGCGAGCGGCCCCTACAAGGCGTGACTTGAGCCCTGTAAATAATCACATTTTTCATTTTTACTTCCTCGTCGGGGAATTTAATCTGGCTGCGTCCCATGACACCGGTGATCAAGCATGGTTGATCGGTTCAAATGGGTTCCCTTTGTGATGTTATTTACACAAATTAGCTGCGCATTCATTCCTTCGTGATTGTTGGATATGTTTGGTCGCAGCCATTGTGATTGGTTGCTCTCCGCGTGACGGTGGAGTTTTTTTTACATTGCTTGTTGTGTGTAAATTTCTTTTCAAAGCTTTCGTGACAGCAGGGATTCATATTCTTGGTTCTTTCGGGTAAAGTCACCACGTAGAAGGGAAATAATAAAATAATAAAAAAATCTAACAATAAATTATCACGACGTTTTGGCCACAACACAAGCAGCCGTCCTCATAAATATGCTAAATTCCTCTGTTGACATGTAAACTCCTTTGTCAAGGCGCTCTCCTCCTCCTACCCAGCTTAAAATACGCTGCCAAGCTTAGCAGTGTTCATTAGGAGGCTATCTTTCCGACAGCTCTGTTCTTCACCTGAGGACGGCTGCTTGCGTTGTGGTCAAAACGTCGTGAGAATT